ATCTGACAGATACAATCTAGCATTTGATTAAACAGTAGTTATGTAGTAATTAATGTAGATGCCAAGAATGGGAGGAGATGCTGACTTAGAAACTCTGACATGTTATGGTACATGTATCTGTCCAACTGGAGTCTGGTCTGCAAAGCTAAATACAATAAATATGGATTTAGTCTGACATGTACTGTAATCTACAAGTTTTTTTTTTTAATTTATTTGCCTCTAATATAAAGTGAACTATATTACATGTGCTTTTTGGCTGTAATAAATGTGTGAGTGATATTATTTTGTGTGAATATAACAAACTATAAGTACAAGACTAAATTTCATACACTAGTATATTTTTTCAGTGTAATAGTTTGGTCATTACGTTCATTCACTGGAATAGCAGAGACAGTGTTCAAATAACCATCTTAGAAACTGTATCATGTAACAAACTGAAAACTCACTATCACAGTTTTATTTCATGGGTTCCTTATGGTATCCGTGCTCAGTCAACTGTCATTGCTTCTGTTATCAGCATCTTATCATGTCATTTTATACAAACACTTTTATCAAACAAGCCGCACTGTTCCCATAGCTTTAACAGTCAATAAGAAATTAGAAGAAGCTGATAAAGCAGTCACCGCGTTCTCCCCTTCTCTTCATCAGACCTAACAGAGAGATGAGTTACATGTGAGCATTGGTGCTTACCTTAGAAATACACCAAAATAACAAGGAGCAAATGTTCGACATGGAAGCTGAAAGTGATGAGCAGCGATTTTGCCACTTATCAATTACAGGTGCATTTCTGATTCCTTATGTCATTGCCTTGGTGTTTGAGGGACTTCCCCTGCTGCACATGGAACTGCACATGGAACTGGCCATTGGACAGTGGCTACGCATGGGAAGTGTTGGAGTGTGGAGTGTTCAATCTCCCCATATCCGGGAGGTGTAGGTGAGAACGTCTGGTATGTGAAATGGTCGTATACCAGACATTCGAAAAATGCGAAAGATGAGCAAACTTGTGTCATACTTAACACCACTCTATAATTTATGTTAATTTCTATTAACTTTTAATGGTGAATTTTTAAAAACAGGCGTGGCTTCGATGCTGGTGTCTTCCTGGTTGGACTGTTCTACAACATGATCTTGGCCTGGATCCTGTGATACTTCTTCCATTCCTTTCAGAGTCCACTTCCCTGGAGGGACTGCCCAGTAAACCTGAATCATACTGGTAATATTGACATTACGATATTATAGATTAATATGTGCCAAAATTAACTAAAGGCCCACAGATTACTTATGATATCTCTAATTTCTAAACCCTGAACATAACACCAAACATTGAGACCAGTGGGTCCTTGCAGTAGTAGCTGGTGTTGTGTCTTGCATTGTGTACATCTGCTTCATAAGAGGGATTGAGACTATTGGGTCTCCAATGTTGATATATTAAGCTTTTTGCTCCATTTATTGCACCCGCATGGTAGATAAATAAGGTTTGATAAAGGTTTTTCCACCTCGAAAAGATAGTTGCATGAGGGAATAGCATACGTTTTGCCCTGCATATGTTGGCCATTTGTCGAAACATATATCAACACAAATTGTTAACCAAATGGAATGTGACTGTTTGGTGATTTCAGTGCATACTTGTAAGCTAGTTGGATAAGCAGACAGTCTACAGGCTCACGTTTATAGATTTCTTGATTAACATTAGTGATTGCCTTCAATATTGCCACTACATTGTTTTTCTTGGTCTTCATGCATATTCACTGTACTGCAGTTTGTGGCATCCATTCAGTTGGTTGAATAAGTTAGTTGTGTTGCATATGTGCAGCATGTTACTTTCACTTAATCATGCATTTGAAATATTTTTCAAATGCATGATTACTTCCGTAAATTGGAATAAAGGTCAAAATTCAACTACTGGCTGCATTAAAGGCAGTAACTGTGATGGATAAGCAGAAGACTAAACATTTATTTTTCTTTATTACCTATAAAAGTAACAATACCTAAAAATGTTACAAGCTGTAAAAATCTCTCTGAGTTGATGCTTTTGACGATACACTGATGAAAAGAGTTCATCCAAACTTTTCCCCAACAGGCTATTTATGCCACAGCCACTTTTCCATATCTTGTTTTGACCATCTTCTTGATTGACTCTCCCTGGAACGAGTGATGGCTCGATATATCTTTTCACTCCAAATGTAAGTCTATTACTTTTTTTCCCCTTACCAACATAATTTCATGTGATAAATCTGATATCTAACTAATGTTTATCACAGTGGGAAACTTTGAAAAATCTTAAAGTTTGGCTGGATGCTGCCACCCAGATCTTCTTCTCCTTGTCTTTGGCCTTTGGGGGACTTATTGCTTTTTCCAGTTATAATCCTCAGAAGTAAGAAAAGCCAAAAGAAAATGTTTTTTTTAAAAAGCCATACATTATACTGATCAATACATTGTTTTGTTTTATTTTTTCAGGAATAACTGTGAGAGAGATGCCCTTATTGTTGGATGTGTGAACAGTTTTGCATCAATATATGCGTCAGTTCCTATTTTTGCCATTCTTGGCTTTAAGGCAAATTGAAACAACTGCCAAAACTGGTAAGTTAAATAAAAAAATGATGTGAAACTTAAGCTTTAACATTACATAGATACAATATTAAAGCAAACATTTCTGATTTAATATTAATGCTTTTAATACTAATAGTGTTTTTGTTTGTTTGTTTGTTTTTTGCTGATATCAGGAACATATTAACCCTGACAAATGCATTTAACATCGGGGTTGGCAACATAACTCTTGAAAACTATGGCGAGTGGTTAAACTATCTCAATAAGACCGATCCCTTGGAAGTTAAAAGTCTCAATCTCAAAGCTTGCAATCTACAGACCTTCCTCGAAGAGGTGTAGCACATCTACTCATATAAAAAATAATTAGCATTTATGTATTTGTGATCATATATCATTTCCCACTCTTAGAGCGCTTCAGGAACTGGACTGGCATTTATTTTGTTTACTGAGGCAGTGATTGAAATGTCGGCCTCGCAGGTGTGGGCGGTCCTCTTTTTTGTTATGCTCTTTTGTCTCGGCCTGTCCTCCATGTTTGGAAATCTAGAGGGCGTCCTTACTCCTCTGCTGGATTTACACATAGTTCCACCCTGGATTCCTAAGGAAGCTTTCACAGGTATACCAAAAAGACTGAACAGCTTAACGTTGCATTTTCACTGACGGCACTAAGAAAACTGGTTTGTATTGTGTAATATTATTAAAACAAAAATAAAGATGATAAAGTTAGGTGCAAGATATCTATTACTTTCTACATAGAATTGTGACTATGACTAAATCCCACCTGGTATTTCAAAACACATGCATTACTTTTGCAAGAAACCTTTATGTTCTCTCTGAAGGTGTTTATATTAGTGATTTTAGTTTATAGTCACATGTCTTATGATGTCTGATATTTTGCTTACTTAATCTGTCTCATCTCCTTTGCTGTGGCCCTAATCTTCACTTTGGGCTCTGGAAACTACTGGCTGGAAATTTTTAACAGCTATGTAGGATCCGTGCCACTACTCATCATAGCTTTCTTTGAGATCATCGCTGTGGCTTTCATCTTTGGAATAAACAGGTGATATTATCATTGTCAATTTATGTCATGATTATACTTATGTTAAACAGTGTTTTTAAAAGGACAAATGTTACAAATGTTTCCATTTGCCCACAGGTTTAATGATGACATTGAATGGATGACAGGGCGGTGACCTAACATTTACTGGCAGGCAATTTACTGGCGCTTTATCAGCCCGTTCGTGCTTCTGGTGGTTTTTGTGGCTTATGTTGTGATCGAGGCTGAGAAACAACCAACATACAATGCATGGAACCCAGATTATGTAAGATTTTTTTTAATGTACCATTATGACACTTCATTAAATTTGGAACAAAGACTGACTTTCCACTGCATCACCCCCGCAGGTTCACTTCCCCCTTGCTGATGTCCTGCACTATCCTGAATGGGTTTTTGCTATCTGTGTGCTCTTATCGATCCTTCCTGTAGTCTCCATTCCCCTTGTGGCTTTCTATAAATTCATGTGCTTCCTGAAGAATTACACCATGAACAGACAATCAGAATCCATATGCAAATGAGTATTATCATGGGGAATTGTAAATAGATATCTTGACCTATGTTATTTGATTGGTGGTCAGGATTACAAGTAACCCCTGCCACTCATTATTAACTTTGTACTCTGTATGTTCATTTGAAAAACAAAAAGGCAAGCAAAATGATTCCACTTCATATTTTTACATTTTCCCATCTTTTTTAAGGTATGGTTTTGCATGCTTATTACACCTAATAATATCCTTAACATCCTTAACATATTGAAAATTTTAACCTAAATGCATCATTTGTACCAGAGACAGAGATGCAGCCTGATCAATTCAATGCATGACAATATCTCTGTGAATACGGATCACCAAGGGCTGGAACTGACTCTTATGTTTGTGTTATTATTCAATTAAAGGAAGATGACAGTTAATTTCCTGTGCTGATGTTTGGATAGGAACAAATGGAGCATGATGGATACTGTAACATGTGTCGTTTGTGATCAGCACATATATTAATAAAATAAACAATTTTCAGTTAAAATGTACATAAGCACATGAGCTGATTTTGTGATTTCATTCACATTTGCCCAACCCAACTTTTGCTACATGATAATCTTCTTTCTACTCTTGGTTACATGCACATGTAAAGAGTGATGTAGTGTTGCATGATGTGTCCTTGCATGTCAACAGTGCATGTGACTGTATGAGAGTAGCGGTACATGCATGTGCTCACTAGTCATGTTCATGTGTGCGTGCGTGTGTGTGTTTTGAGTTACACGCAGTTACCTTTTTGTGGTGTGGGTGGACGGTGATATTGTCCCTCCAGCGTCACGTGCTTTGGAATATGCTGGCTGCCTTTGTTGCCTCCCTGCCTGTTCTGCTTTTCTGGCACTTTCATACAATGGTGCACTTGAACACCCTGATGTTATTAAGCCTTTCAAACTACTACAGTTTGAATTCCAGCTCTCAGGAAAGACTAGCATCCCAATGTAGGATACATGGCACAAGACTCATCGTCGAGGAACAACAGCAAGGATTGACTGCAACGAGAAAACAAAAGGTAACAACTGAGCCTCCATTAACTTTGATTATTGCTGCTTTATGTCTGTATGGATAGAGCTATGCAAGGTAACATAATAATTATATTTTAATTTTAATTATTGCCGTGTACAATTACTTACTTTCTTCTCTGCTTCACAATCTGACACTACCAATGTTGGTCATTATTTATGGCTCTTTTAGTTTTGGGGGAAAAAAATAAACCTGATGTGACTAACTACAGAAGTTTACTGAGTTCAAAAGGACGTGCCGTTTCAACTGCTGTTGAAGTAAGTTAAAGGTAAGAAAAAAATGCAGTGTTTGACCAGCTGCTTACAAAATGTGACATATTCATTTCTGTGCTGTTCTAGACTTGTCACTAAGTAAATAAACAGTAATCGTCCAAGCGAGGATTTTGTAGTCGTCAAGAGGAAAGCGACCTTTTAGGATAAACAAATCAGCTGTATTTGTGATCATCTAAATATTACTGTTATCATGTATACAACACACTGTGCTATCAGCAACAGCAGAATGGTGTGACAAGTTCGATAACACTTCACTAGGACATGTCGCAGCGGGCAGATGCCTCCCAGTGTGGTGGGGTTGTGGTTGAGTTCGAGTCTGACAACATCCGGGATGCAAGAGCTGAAAAAGCTACGCGTATACCAGGTGAACTCGAATTAAAATCCAATTAGAATTTGTGCAGTGTCTTTGTAGCCAATGGAATATCTGCTTATTTGATTTGATGTATTTCCTTTTAAGGTTCAGCTCTTATCTACCTCAGGGGTCCCAAGTTTCTCATCTATGTCAGTGGAGCATTATCAATGTGGGTAAGAATCATTTCCTGAAGAAACATTCGTGGGGCAATAGGTAAGACTTCGCAACTAAAAGGACTGCAAGGTAGTCTCTTTACACTGTGTCACAGCACACTGACGACAATATTGCAACACAACACACGATGATGACTTTTCTCATGTGTTAAACAGGGCGACCGCATGTGGCACTTCGCAATCTCTGTGTTCCTGATTGAACTGTACGGCCGTAACTTGCTGTTGACTGCGGTGTTTGGATTGGTGGTGGCTGGGTCAGTTCTCATGTTTGGGGCTTTGATTGGAGACTGGGTTGATCGCAATCCTAGGAATAAAGGTATGCACAGCAATCTCATACCCATATGAAAATTCTAACATGTAATATAGCGAGGTACAGTGATAAGAGCTCAGTGGATTTCAATCTTGGGCCAGGAAATTTGCTGGTTTCCTATCCCACTAGGAGGTGAATTGCTATTCGCCAGATGTCTCAAGTGTAAACCTCCTGGCACAAGGTTCATAGCCACTGACTCGTATCTGTTATGACTAGCATTCATTTTTTACAACCCCCATAAAAAAAACCCAAAATGTATATTTGAAATTCTTTTTTTCCATCTTCTATTTTAGTTGCACATGCATCTCTTTTCGTTCAGAACATCTCGGTGACAATATGTAGCATTGTGCTCATGTTGGTGTTCTCATACAAGCAAAGGATTGAACAGATCTGGGATGGATGGCTTACTGTGAGTAGACACTACATACTTGCTACAACACAATTGCTGTGTTTCGGTTATATATACTTGATATGAGTACTACACAGAAAAGTCATTGCTGTTGTTGTCCCCTCTGTCTCGTGTCCCTGTTGTCTCTGCCTCTGAGCTTGTGGCTACTCTGTGCTGTCATAGTAACATGTTGCATCGCAAAACTCACACAAGGTGGTTTGTTATACGGTGGTGATCGTCCTGGCAGATGTGGCAAACCTTGCAAGCACAGCACTGACCATTGCCATTCAGAGGGACTGGATTGTGGTCATCACAGGCTACAACCGAGGTCACCTAGCGGGTGAGGACATTCAGTCTGTTAATGAATATACTGGTTTGTATTTGAGGCTTGTCTGTGGAAGATAGATCCTCGAACTATAGAAAAGATCAGATATTGACTGACTACTCCTTAGCTTCCGATGCTGGACACACATTAACCTCTGTGTTTGTTCCTAACAAAAGGAATGAATGCAACCATGAGGCGGATAGATCAGGTGACTAACATCCTGGCCCCACTAGCAGTGGGACAGGTCATGACCCTTGCCTCCAACGTAGTTGGCTGTGGATTCATCCTGGGCTGGAACCTGGTGTCTCTAATTGTGGAGTTCTTCTTCTTGTCACGGGTTTATCGCATCGTCCCTGCTCTGTCAGCAAAACCACCATCGGTTGCAGTGGATCAAGCATATCTCCAGAGGATAGAGAGGAAAAGGTTACAAGGTATGAACTGTTCATTGGGTCTTTTTCATAGATCAAAAAGGGAATCCAATCTAGCAGTGCCTTAAACCTGTATTCTTTCTAATAGAAGGAAAACGACTTTTGCAAAAGATTTGGGGTGTCTAAAAACAGCCCTTACATCCCCATTAGCGTCAAAAGGGAGGATAAAGTGAATTTCTCTAGTGTGGGATTAAAAAAAGTGTTTAGGTGCTTTAGGGCAGGCTTACACTGTGAATGAGAAGTCAGTACTACAGTGTGCCTCCGTTTCTCAGTTATTCATGTTTGTTTTCAAAATATCAAGATGAGGAATCATATCTTCATGGGAGCTGCCTCTTTCCGAAAAAAAAAAAAAGATCCAGCACTAAAGCTTTTTGACATACATTATCTTAAAACACAGTTTTGAGTTTGTGTACAGCATCCAAATGCAAGGGTCCACATGGTAAAGATTTCTGTTTGTACTCACACACATTAGCGTAGATGAATTGCGTTTGACAAATGATGTAGAGGCTAACGTGACATGGCATAGAGAGGATGCAGAAAAGCTAGTGAGGATTAGGCCTTTAGAATTAATGAACTCGAGTGATGGATGCCATTCTTGTTTTTCATTAGGAGAAGGCAATGTTGCACGACCTCAGGCTCTGACAGAGGGCAACTGCAACTCAAGCTTGCACCTGAAGGAAATCACCGATCTGCCGCTGTGTTTTCGGAGGTTCCGCTGGCTGGTGAGCACCTGTAAAGATGGCTGGATGGCCTACTATCGTCAGCCTGTTTTCCTCGCAGGAATGGGTCTGGCTTTCCTTTACACCACAGTGCTTGGGTTTGACTGCATCACCACTGGCTATGCCTATACTCAGGGGATAAGCGGATCTCTTCTTAGTCTGCTGATGGGCGTGTCAGCTATCACAGGCTTGATGGGCACTATAATGTTCACCAGGCTCAGGAAGGCCTATGGCCTGGTCAACACAGGTATCATCTCAAGCTGCCTCCACCTGGGCTGCTTGCTGCTGTGTGTGTGCTCTGTGTTTGCCCCTGGCAGCCCCATGGATCTCAGCTTGCTGATGCCCGACATTACTTCCAATTCCTCTACAGCGCTTGGTGGGATGACAGGCCAAAGGCAAAAACACACATACCCTATGATGGGAGGCAGCAATCAGCCACTTCTGCCCGACCGCTCTTCTATCCACTGGACCAACAACACAGTGCTTTTTGACAATGTTCCCTCCGGCACAGCTCCAGAATCTTACATCTCCATTATTCTGCTGTTCTTGGGTGTCATTACAGCGCGCATTGGTGAGTAGACACAAATTCAGAGCTTATTCAGTGCAGAGAAAAACTTATATACAAGTGATATTGCCATTTTTAATGCCCATCTCATGTGGGTACACGGCAGTTATTCCAGTAATAATTTATTTTGAATATACTGATATATAGTGATAATTATCCTTTTGAGGTAATTTAACAAAAAATAAAAATTACCTAGTCAGTCCACCAGAGAGCACTATTGTAAACTCTAAAATGTATTTCTCATTACATACAAGGTTTTTGGATATTTATTTCTATTGATGCACAGAGTTTAAATATTGGTGTAGAGTATGAAATATATGTCAAAAAATACATAAATCTGCCCAAAATGTGACTTTTCTGGGTAATTTTGTTATACAAGTACAATTTTTAATCTGGTCAAATGAAATTTACTACAGCTGAATCAGTGCCCATCTGTTATAAAGGTCAGTTCATCTATTACTGTGTTTCAGGTCTCTGGTCCTTTGACCTGACTGTGACTCAGCTTCTGCAGGAGAACATCTGTGAATCAGAGAGAGGAGTGGTTAACGGGGTGCAGAGCTCCATGAATTACCTGATGGACCTGCTTCACTTCATTATGGTGATCTCTGCTCCGCAGCCACAACACTTTGGCATCCTAGTTATAATTTCTGTGTTCTTCATCACCACGGGGCACACTATGTACTTCCTGTATGCACATAAAGCCAAGAGAAAACGCCGCCTCGACACATAAGGAGCAGCTTACACATCCAGGCATGAGATGCTCACTAGCACTGAATCCACTCTGCACCAGTGAAATGAATGTCTCCCTCCTGATCCTTCAGCAAACTAATTGCAACACTCCAACTGTTTCTAACTCAGCCATTCATTTCAGCACAACACAGCAAGTGCCAATCCCACCTCAGCTGCTTTCACACTGCAGGGCCACGTGCCATGGCAGCAAACGAAAACTCAGGTGAAGTAGAGTGGGAGACAAGCTCTCGCTTTATGTACATAAGTCGAAGTGGCTACCATAAACGCTGCCTCCAGGGGAAATGTCCTAAGAGGACACAAAGGTTACGACTTAAGGCACCAACAAATGTTTTTGCCAACTGTGCAGAATACTTGTATACTGCAAGACTTTCAAACAAGACGGTTAACTTCATAGCTTTTTTGGATGGGAAGGTGAAGGGACAGAGAGATGAATCTAACCATCACCTCAGTACAGATCTGCTGCTGTGAAAAAATCCTGAACGTGACACATGAAAATAAAGACAAGACAAAGCTGTACATTTTCAAGTGGCATTGATGTTACTGATCCGTCCACTTGGAAATATTCCAGGATGTCCAAAAAGGAAGATAAAGGGAACTTGATGTGAGATTGTTTGAAAGATTGTTTAAATTCAAAGGAAAGAAAGAAAACCCTGAAAGGCAACCCCCCCCGCCCTTTTTATTGGACAAAAGTGAAAGGACAAGTGTTTCTTCCCCTGGTTTGTTTCTCTGTGGATGAATCAAGCAAACATTTGCCTTTCTTTCATGCATAAAATCCTGGATTATGAATTACAACACAAACACACACAAAAATATTTTATTCTAATTGCTTGTGTATTTAGAAAAATTAAAATAAAAACATACTTTCTTGTCATCTCATATAAAGAGTGATATTAATAGTTTTATAGAAATCCAAAACCACCAATCTTCATTTTGGGACATGTTTGAAATCAGTGATAACTACATGTTGATAACTGCCATTAGGAATCTTGTTTGACAGTTTGCTTCATTCTTTTGTAGTTCTGAAGAACTAAACATTTCCTTACCTCAGCTAAGAGCAAGACCACTGAATCCAACATGGGGATTACCCTCAGCTACTGCGTGTTTTCATATCTCATTCATGTGCAGTGGAGACAATATCAAAGTTGAATCTTTTGTCATAAAACATGCATCACATCTCAGTATTTTTGTAACATTTTCTTGTGACATTTCTGTATTGTACATTGTCATTTTTAAGACTATTTATGACAATAAAGATGACTGACGAAGATCTTTGGGCTCAGGGAAAATACATACATGTTAAAAAAAATTTGCAGAATTGTGCCAAAATGTCATCTAAATACATTGATTACAAACATAGTACATGACCTTTCATAAAATAAGAAACACAATTAGAAAACAGCAGCAAACATCAGTTTTAATGCTCAGTCAGAACATTAAAACACTAAAAATGTGTAATTTGTCGTCTTATTTTATCTCATTTATCTTATTTCATCTTATTTTTAAATTTTAATGAAAGAGGTTATAAATATTTGTGGATTAACCATCACAGAAACACACAAAAAATATTTTGATAACTAACAATACTGATCATTTTGGGCAGCTGCATGACTCTTACATTGAGTGGTGGTTTAATACATTTGTTGAGAACTGTTTATTGTGAAATGTAGTTGCTAGAAGACTAACAATATTATTAATTAGCATAAACTTGTACATTAACGGCACTTGAAGTTTCTCAGTCACACATTAAGCACTGTCCTAGACTAAATGAAACATTTAATGAACTAATCCCCTTAAAAAAGTATTTAGTGAGGGATTAGGCATAATCAATATCTGGGAAAATAAGCTACTGTTACGAAGCCACATGCAAATGTAATAGCTGTTGGTCATCAGAAGAGGTCATTGTGCCATTAAGTGCTCATCATCATGCCATTGTTGTTTCAAAAATGATTGCCTGTAATCTGTGGAACAGACCAATCTCAAATGATTGATATCAAGTCATCCACAGACAAGATTCCTGACACAAAGTAGAAGCTGCGTGATTTTTATATCCAAATAAAAAGTGTCACAAAATACACATTTTACAGTTGTACTTTTAAGATTTTTGGTACACAAGTATGCAAAGAAAGCTAATGAATAACTGCTATCTGCAGAATTCCCACTATGTAAATAAAAGGCATTTACAATAAATGAATCACTGGTCCCGAAGAGTGTCATCAAAATAGAATATTTACATTTATATGTGTATCTTTTGCAACCCTTTAAATTAAGGTTGTACTGTTTCTATCACCATCGCTGACAGTGTATGAATCAGAGATTGGAGTGCTAAACCTTGGTAATGCACAGAACCTATGAAAAGGCTTCCTAAGACGACTAGCCAGGAAGAGCTGTTGTTGTTTTCCAAGCAACGTCAGTTTATTTCTATAGCACCTTTCTAAAAGCATGTAAGTAACATGGTACTTTACAAAATTTACAAAAATAGCTTGATAAAACATTTCATAGTTCATAACATGAATGGAATAAGAACATATAGTATTGTTTTAAAGGTCCAGTCTGACCTTTGCTATATTTCTTATCTGTATAAAGCAAGACTGGACTAGACTTTTGACATATATCTACCCTATACATACAATGTATCTCTGCAGATTAAGCTTGATGATTAATGAGTACAGATTAGTCATTCATTTATGCCTGTTATACCAAGTAGCACTATCAAGCTAGCATGCCATGTGGTGTGGTCTTACCTACAGTATGAGTGGCTAATGCTAGCTGTTAAAACTACAGCTAATAAGTTTTCCTTTGTCTTCTGGTGGCAAATTAGAGACACTGCCTGGCTGCTTATGGGCTAACCATTTAGGGGAAAGACCCATGTCTCCTCTTCCTTATATATAATGGCCAAAAACAAAAACACACCTGCTAAATAAACCGACAGACTAATAAAACGCTAAAATTTCACTCACCAAAACTGAAACAGAAACTTCTTAGATGAGCTATACCTTACTGCAACTCTCCTCTATAAGACAGTTCAATTAAAAATGCTCCAAAAAGCACCAGCAGGACAAAAAGTGAAGAGTTCCAGTTAGTAAATAAGTAAATAATCATCTCCTTCAGAGTTGTTATGAACAGGGAAACTACTAATAAAGCCCCATAATAGATGTCCGTTTGTCCCGTTTGTGTCTTTCAGAGCAATTTTATAATAAATAATGTTGCCTCCTTTGTGGCACCAGCTATTGAAGCAGTTTGTGCCTCTGTGCTTGCTGTCACTTTTCTTGCTCATAACTTAGCCCTACACCCTCTTTTCCAATTATGGTAGCCTAACTTCTGGAATCAAAATACTAAGGCCAAACCACCACTGGGTGATGCTGCTACATACCCAGCATACTGTTACTTGTTATGCCTGCGCTCTGGTAAAATCAAAAATGTCTATGATGAAAAATGGATTATACAAATGAACTGCAACACCAGGGATTTATGTGCTGTCAGCGACTCATGATAATATTATAAGCTTTGGCTATGATTGTGATACCATGTAAGATGATTAGAGGCCAAAGCTGAGATTATATCAGCTAAGGCCAATGACCTAATTTAGGGCTGGGCAAATAAACACATGATAGACACAAAAATGGACCTTTGCTAGAATTTTCTGAAGAGCTCTTACATTACACTACATTATTTTTAAACTCCCAAACTCAGATATAATATTTTAATTGGAGATGAATGGTTTTCATTCCAGATTGTGATAAAGAGCTCAAAGAAGACAGGAAAGAGTTGATAAACAGCAGAGGATCTGTCTAATGTGCAATTTTAATGTGCTTGTAAAAAAAAACCTGCTACTAAATATTTAATATATGTAGCAGACTGTGGCTTGACTTTTGACCTTTTGTGAGTGGCTATTGTTTTGGAAATCTCTGTAATGAACCCAAAAGAGTTTCATCATTTTTATTAGTCTGTTGCAGCGCTGCGCGCCTGCAGTAGAGTTCCTCCCATGGTTGTCATGGCAGTCCCTGGTTAAAGACACTAGTAGTACACAGAGCTGCCTTACAATTTTGGCTTTAGGCATCTTCACTTTGCAATTCGTTTACTTGAAAAACTGGGTCAGTGGTAGCACATTAAAACTAGGTTTGTCCCCCTGGCTTTGTAACACGTTCACTTTCTTCCTACAGTGGTATCACAAAAGCAAATGCTCAAAGACAGCCACATACAGTAATGTAATTAAGTCTGGTACAAACCAAGGATGTGGTCATATTAGTTCATTTACTTAGTAATTGGTAATTTTTTTCTTTTCATTTTAAAAAGATTTTAAGAGGACTTAAAGGAAGACTTACCTATTGTAATAAGTCTAATATGTACTCTGCAGGAGGAGTGCAATTGGTGTCGTGCCAATCACTTACATTAAAAGAACAAAAAGGCCGCAGTGGAACGATAGGACTCGTCCTCACATGAAAGAGAAACACCACCTAGAGATGGGGACCTTTTCTCATTCTGCAGTTTGCTGTATCAGCAGTTTGGGATGGCAGCACAGCTGAATGGCTTTGCAAGGACCCAGTCAAGCATCACACCGCTGACAGAGGGGAAAAAAGATATAATGATAATAGATAAAATGTTGCCCATACTGAGATTTAATGTCCTTGTTTTTCTTTGATCGATACATGTTGGGTCACACTGATCCCTCTGCAAGTTCACTAAGCACCCTGACAGCAATTGCAGTTGGACATCTTAGTTGGACAGCTTAGAGCTCTGTAATAAAAATGGACACTTTATGGTTGCAGCAATAGTCTGCAGGGTGATTAAAAGGCTTTTTTTCTTTGTTTGTTTTCTCTTTTTTTTTTCATTATCGTCCTATTAGAGAAACGTACAGTTTCAAATGAAGTGTCCCAAACAAACAGTTGATTAATCAGCTTCACTGGCCATAAATGAATAAATCAAAAAAGTAATTATTCCCACAAAATCCAACATGCCTGGGTTTCAGATCCTCTGTATAGGTCTACTGATATTTTACACACCAACGATTGACTGAGAAATTCAATAAATTATTTGGAGATTAATTAGAGACTCAAAAATGTTACAGAATACTGAATGTTAAATCAAGTTCCCAGCATAAGTTGATCTCTTGTCTGATGAACTCCCCGAGATCCAGCCTCAATTTGCAATATATCACATAAAACACTGGAAACTCTGTTCACTGTTCACTATAATCAGTAGCTATCTAGATCAGTGATAAAGAGTTTTGATTACTCAAAATTCTAATGCTTGCTCCACTTTATATACAGCAGGTAAATGCTCTGATGTTTACACATCCACCTGAATATGTCAGGAACTTTCTGTAACAGATCTGTAGCTTTTGCTCTGACTTTACGAGCTTCTTATGGGTGCCATTACATTACCTCACTCTAACTGAAAATAAAGCGGTTAAGTATTGTTTGCCTCACACGTAGTACATCTCCACCCTAACAAGAGTTTGACCTTCTAGTGTGAAGTACCCTGCCCTATCCTGAATCTTAACTCTCTCCTGCTTTCGGGAGATTTTTAAACTTCCTTTTTGGGTCTGTCTGGCTCACCAGATGTTTCCTGAACCTACCGTGTCCTTAACTCACTCCCTCCCTGTCCGGGTGCTGAAAAGCACCAGAAGGACGGAGAGGAGAACTCTGTCATTCACTCTCAGTACAGCCAACCACACAGAGCGATACCTGGAGTTCAACTGATGCGCCTGTAGACTTGACTGAGGTGTACAGCAACTGGAATCTACTCAGGCTGTGATGACAGAAACTCACAACTAGCCTACACTCATTCTTGAGCTGCTTACCTCTGTTAGGTATTTTTTACGAGTTGTGTAAGCCCATGTTCAGGACTTCTGCTGTTGTTCCTGGTGGAAAGCCAGCAGCCAGTAATCAGTCGACAATGTCGTGGGACTGTGGTCTCAGATACATGTTCTCTGTGTCCCCTGGGCTGCAGCACGGGAACAAGTGCATCCTGCATGACAAGGAGGACCTGTCCAGACTGGAGATGGTCCAGAGACTGGCCAAGGATGGCTGCCGCTTTCTGCAAAACCACAGCAAGAGCCCAGAAAGGACAAGTGAGGTGAGATACATGACACATCGGCAGACAGAGCAGATATTTCTACAACTTTTGTTTGTTGCAGGATGTAAATGCATCGAAATGAAAACGCAGCTTTAGTTCAACATATTTGATGCTCCACTTTATTTAATTATAAATCCGACTCTGTTAGCAAGTTTTCCCCATGCGTGAAAGCAAGTGGAGGCTGCATCCTAAGTTACATTCACTCAGAATTATACTGCAGTGTTTTATGCAAGCATTGCAGTCTGTGTAGCATCCCATTAATCAAACTGAAGTGAATTTGCAGTCTGTTTTTTTTTTTAATCGGTCTCCTTATGTTCTATAGTGTCTCCACCTTATCTAAAAATTAGTGTTGCCGCTTAAATTATGTGCAGATTGCAAGAAGTGTCTCATTAAGTATGAGAAAAAATACCATTTTAGATGCAAGAATAGATGTCAAAATAGATTGTATCTATAAGATGAATCACTATGCCTGTGTTTACAACCCCAGTTCTCAAAAAGTTGGGATGCTGTTCAAAACGTGGGTAAAAAGAAATTCAAATGAAAAACTGTTGAAACTGACCTTATTCTAAAGTTGATCTATATTTTGTTGAAGCTGTTTGTAGCAGCTTAGGGAACCTTTTCTCATCTTAACTTGTGAGAAACCTCCTGTCTAAGATGCTCTATTTATAATTAGTTGTTACTCCAGCTGTTTCTTTTTAGTTCCACTTACATTTCCAGACTTGTGTTACCCCTGTTCCAACATTTTGAGGCGTGTTGCTAAGATCAAATAGCATAATGTTTCCTTTGAAACATTTGATTTTTCTTCTATGTTCTAATTTGAGTAGAATATCAGTTTATTCACGAATCATTGCTTCCTGTATTTATTAACATTTTATTAGCGACCCAGCTTATAAATTATTTTGTTCACTAAGGCATCAATCTCGGGTTACACAGGCTCTCTTTTGTTTCTTTCATCTTTCGTTTCTGAAAATACAACAAGAAGTGCTGTATGTGCACGTCAGCCTCCACACTTTTAAAACTATTACATCACCTGTATAGGAGCAATCTGATTGGCTAGCTTTATGGTGGGTTCAGCTTCTCTCTTCCTGCCAGCTGTGTCTGTGCGTTGACCTGCTGAACAATTGCAGGAAGAAATGACGCAAGTGGCCGAACCACCATGCCAAGACATTGTATGTTTTCAGGGTGGATTCCCGAGCGTCATGACCTTTTCTCCACCATGAAGCAAGCTCTCCTTATCACCGTGCACTTTCAGTAACAGCCTGTCGCCTGCACTGAGCTGCTGCCAGTCTGTGGATGATCAAATGTTAGAGCTACATAACAACAGTGTTTTACGTTTGTTGCTTTAGTGACATACTGAGCACAGTACTGAGCCACCATTCATTTCTTTATATTTGTTTCCAAGGATCAAGACTTTTTAGTCATTTTTAAAGTTGTCTTGAGCAATAGTTTCTCAGGCTTTCTTTGGACATTGGTTGTTTTCTCGCTCATTTTCATTTTTCAGTCCAGTCCCTGTTCCTGACCATTTTTAGAAGGAACAATCCCTAACACTGACCTATAAATTATAAATAAATAAATAAATAAAGAACTCAAGGAATGAATCAGTGCTTGTGTCTCAACAGAAAACTTACCACAGAAGCAATTTTAAATTAATGAAAATTTATTCCTGAATTCAGGAATACAACCACACCTAATGCAGTTTCCTTCTGGGCCTATATATATGCCCTCCTGCAATACAAGCTGTTGGTTCTCATTGGGGGATCTTAGCAAACCTGATGGAATTATGAAAATTAGTACAGTCAGATTTTGATCCACCATCTACTTAGCACTTAGGTCAGAAAAAAGTGCTTGTGTGAATGGGTGTGATTGGGTGAATGAATTAGTTGTATAAAGCGCTTTGAGTGCTCAGACAGAGTAGAAAAGCGCTATATAAGAACAAGTCCATTTACCATTTACCATTTACCATCTGGAAATATCTGATTGGCAATGGCTTCATTTTTCAGCTTGGCAATGATTTGCACAATATTGTACATATGCATAAGTTTGTCAAATTATGACTGTAAAAAAGGCTGAGTATATATGTCTATGTGTCATTAATAATGCCAGAAATAATAGCCAGGTATGGTAAAGTACACTTAACTCTACACCGTAAAAAAAAAATCCTAAAAAAACAGTAATATTCCAGCAGCTGGGCCGCCAAAATAATACCATAAAATAAGAGAAAATAACTTTCCCATGAAAATATGGTTATTTTCAGTAATGACAATACAGTTTGTTGCTCTAATTTTACATGGGATTTTGCCTTTTTCAAGTGCTTTTAAACATTAAATTAGGAACAATTTAATGTGATTAAACAATGAAATTACCTACAAAAAGGTCAATGAATGCGGCAATATGAATAATAATACTTAAATGTACAGAAATATACAGTTAACAGTTGGTTTAAAAAACAAGGCAAACTGCCAACTCATGAGCCACAATCGCCCTAAATAACATAATAATTATTTGATGTAAAAAAAAGTTTATACGAATCATTTTATATATTTTTCCATAGCATTACATTTGAGTTAAACAGTTTAATCTTTCAAATAACTGACAAATGTTTGTGAAATTATGATACATTTGTGAATGTATTTTAACAATCTAAATATGCATATGTACAGACAAATACATTTAAAAAACAGGAAAATTATGTTTTATTACATTTACAGTGATTTTATGTTAATTTACATTTGAAATGTAAAATCACAGTCTATTTATGTGAATTTAATGATACTCTAGAAGAACAGTACAAAACTGTAGAATACACAGTAAAATACTTTTATATCACGATTTATTTTTACAGTGTAGAAGACACGGTACATTTAACACTTGACATTTTCTGGAAATATTAACATTATGTGAGATGATTCTCTAGTGTTCCTCATCTTATAAGTAATCTAATGATGCTGCTAGTGCTGTAAACCGTGACTCATACAGATATCTAAACACAAACATCAAAGTGTTTAGGAATCAGTTAAATCCCAGCTGGTGGGAAAAGGGGTGCTTAATATACAGAGTGCTGCATGTCTGAGTCTCTGATGCAGAAAGACTGTGAATGTTAGGCACTCTGTTTTAACCTAAAGCATATTGCGTTATAGTTTATAGTCACTCATCATATTTTGCTTTAAATGAGACAATAAAAGAAGTCCATGCTTTATTACAGCCAAAAAAATAGTGATTGAGACTAAAGATTACTCAAGACGATGTTTACTGAGATCATACCTCAAGTCAACAGGAGTTCTGTACAATTTGACTTCTCTTTGCAACCAGAAGTGTTTCAAATGCAATGTTTAAAGAGGTTCTGCATTTATTTGCTTTTCGGATCCCGAGGTTACAGATCTTTTACAGTTTTCTATCTTTTATAGCCTCTTTAATTTCAGTTTATGGGGAACAGATAGCAGCACATTCTCATCTTTTCTGTTGAACACATTTTGTCGTACTCTTATTACCTTGATGTTACATAATGTGCACCTCCCTTGCTCACTGTTTATTTTTCAGACCTCACACATGAAATATGAATGACATCAAGCGTCTGTTAGAGATTATGTTTATTTGAAAACAGCTCTCGTATATGGATCCCGTCTTCTTCTTCCCATCCTGTGTAATCCACACTGGTGCTTGGGAGGAATTAAGACAAATCAGCACTTTGTCATGACTGAGACCTTCCAGGGCACTTAAAGTGTTTCATACCATGCATGCCAGATGCACACAGACATACATAAAACGCATCTCTCTAGCCAGCAGTATAGATCTGGAGCCCTAGATGGGACAGTGAAGCTCTTAGAGGGACGTGAGTTTGTGCTGATGGCATCCATGTTTGAAAGGCTTCAGTAACTTTGAGCAAGGTCAGATCAAGGCTAGGTTTGAAACTGAGTGGCCCGGTGCCCTGCAGTCTCATTACAATGATCCACTCTAGACGCCTGGTTGTTTTTTGTATAGGAACACTGGTAACCACAAAGCACAGTGCACACTAAGCAGTAGTCTGAAGCAGCCAAGAAACAATCAATAATTAATTGTGAAGAGTCTTATTTGCTGTTTGACCCATTAGCCATACACTGAGATATTATGTTAATTATAGTCAACAATCAACTGTGCTGTACTGCCAGGCTTGGTGAGACAAAAAAGTGTGCTTTTTTAACTTTAAAGGAATTTAACAGACACAGTATGCCACATGTTGATAAAGCTAGAACCACAGGAAGAAAGGAACAGCTTTGCTTCAATGGGATTTTTTTCTTCATCCCATTTTTATCATCCTCCATGCCCCTTAGTCCAGTAGTAAGACAATTAATCCTCAATGCTTCTTCAGAAACGTAGAAACTGCTTGAGAGTACCTTTCTATGTAATATTGGAATACAGTGGAAACTTAATTGCTACTGCAGTTTTAACAGATATCTAAAGTTTTCTTCGAGTCAGACGTCAACACAGGACTGGAAAAGTACCACCAATCTAAACTACTGTAGTGGGATAATGCAATAATAATGATGACAGACACACTATGTTTGTGTGTCTTTGTTTTGTTATATTTTGTATCTAAATGCATATATTTGCATATGTATCGTGCATCTATAGTGTGTCTTTATGTCCACGGATCCCTTGACAAGCGTTAATAGTGCCAGGAAGCCATGCTTAACTGAACGACCCTGGATGCTTCTCTGGCAAAAGGCAATTAGGGCCACAAACTGCAACCATTTCCAGCATGTCTACCCAGCTAATTGCATGAACAGAGGCTTGTGTTGCAGTGACTGATGGCTGAGAAGGGGAGGATGGGTGAAAAGTGAGGGGAGGGGGCCTAATTCAGGATGCATGCGTATGCAACATACAGTGAAGATCTCATTAAGACCAATATCACTGATCCAGGCTACTCCATTGTCAAGCAGCTGTCAGCCATCTTTATACTTCAGAGACACTCTAGTAATCCTTTTTGGTTTAAGATGTCAACTTTAGTTAAGTTAGATTTTAGATACTTTAAGAGAATGTCTAGGCTGTCCAGTATGCCCAGCAATAGAAACAGAGATTTTGCCCTATACATGTGAAAGCATGAATAAAAAATTAAAAAAAATACTTGTTTTGTTTGTTGACAAAAAGAAGAGATGAATTTATCATTGCTTGTATGTCGTGGTGGTAATAGGACAAGTACCTGGCAAGGGAATCGGGGGTCTATGCTAAACTCCAAACCACAAAACCTTTGTTACTATGCAAAGTTGAACCATGTGACAGCTTGAAAATAGACTGCCTTCAGTCGGCAACCATGATTTAATAGGCGCTACACATAAATCAATAATTAAAATAGTCTTTTATGTTAATCCCTGAATGGGCTCCAGCGATAAGGGCTGAATAATGATATATGGAAATTCTCTTTCACTTACAGTGCAGTATTATGATGGAAATCAGTGGTGATTTGTGCGAGTGGGAGAAAATACAGGGGAATCTCCTTGGTGATAACACACTCCCTCCCTCCCGCTTTTCTCTCCCCAGCCCCAGAGTGACGAGGCAGTCCGCTTGTGTCTGAGAGAGAGGGGCCACGATGTGCTCGTTCTCCAGAGATTGTCGTCAGAGCAGCTCTCTGCATCAGCAAGGGGAGGAGGGAGAGAGGAGGCGAGAAACAGGAGGTAAGCCTCTCCACTCCCCCTCCCCTCCTAGATTCCCTCCCTCTCTCACTATATGTTTCGCTCCCTCAGCGCTCTCCCTATAATCACTCTCCTTCTCCCCCTCTGCGGATCACACACTCACTCGCTCAGGCATTCTTACATCAGTTCCGTGCACATAAATGACTACATTAAATACATACAAGTAGGCAGCATGGGACTGTGAGGCACAGCTCCGCTGTCAGCCTTCCCATTCAAGTAACTGGAGAGGGGGTTTTTGTAGTCGTGAGCATACTGGGATACCTCTGTGGACTACGGGCTCTAGCAGGTGCAGGTGGATAGATGGATGGGTAAAGGGGTCATGCAGCAGTAACCACGGCAACATTGCCGGCATAAGGGCAAGGGGACTCTGCTAGGATGGGATCTCGGCCACAGCCCCCGAACCTGCAGCAGGAGGAGGTAAGGCTGCTACACGCTGCCTTGGTGGAGCAGGAGGAGGACGAGGAGGATGAGGAGGGCTCGGAAAAGAGCAGCAGTGACAGCACCAGCCGGGCAGAGCCGGTGACAATGCCCACGTTTGATGTCCCTTACTTTCGCTACATAGATGATGAGGGCACAGAGGGAGAGGAGGAATGGAGCAGCAGCCGGTCTCTCTCTTCTTTTGAGGAGGACTCTTCCAATGACTCTGTTGTGTCTGACAGGTACATGGTAGTGTCAGGGACTCCTGAGAAGATCCTGGAGCATTTGCTGAATGACCTAACGCTGGACGAGGACCGAGGGATGACACAGGGCAAAGAGTCAGGTCAGCATACTGCTTTCATATCATTTCACCCTCTTTTGGCTTTACCTGTGTCTGACATAAAGCGTTTCTTTGATATTATAAAGCAAAAACACAAAGTCTTTTTTATCTTTATGTAGAAGTCACATATGTATCTTTATGTGACTGAGAGGAGAAAGAGTAAATGAGCTACCTTCACTTTCTGTTTTACTTTCTGCCCTCCCCACCCTTTCTCTTACCGATAAAGCTGGGACAGCTTCCCCCTCTGGGCATTATTACTGGGTTAATCATGTGCTATGATTGCCGAAATAATGTTAAGTTTAAGCGCGTTCATTTAAAAGCCATGACAGAGATAAATGTCTCTCATATCTTTTCAGTGAGGCTGTAAATGGTCTGCACGACATGCAGTCCAGCCTCACAGCAATAAAAAATCAACACATTTCCTCTCATCCAAGCAGGTACTTGATAATTTGGCTCTGTTGCCAAGGCAGAGGAGACCCTCTGTTTCTGAAGCTGAAAAGATAACTGGATGAGGAATGACAATTGAGAGCTGTGAGGCAAGGAGACGAAAGATTGATGAAAAGAGCGGGGAAGAGGAAAGAAAGTGGGCATAAGGAGATTAGGAGAGGAGCTGCAGTTTTCTTGGGATATGGAGGTGGCAACAGCTGATCTCTCATTGGGATGGAGGCATGACTAACTGGAGATCAAATGTCTTATCAGGGACGCAATAGAGTTATAGACTATGTTGAGTGTCGTATTTTTATCGCTTTATTAGAATATTTTATTCTGGCATGAAGTTAAACATAAAGTCAGACACTAAGACAAATAGTTTAGCCATTCTATTCTTTGTTCATTTAGAGTATAATAAATCCATCGGCTCAGAAGGGCTTTGTGTTGTTTATGCATCGTTCTCATTAGTACAACTTGCAGTGAGTGTATAGAAGTTAATGCTCCATAGGGAGCTATGAAGCAGAGCATGATGCTGAGTGGTATCCCAGGGTCAAAGAGCCAGAGACCTCAGGAGGATGAGTCCTGAGCAGCAATTGATCTTCACTCAGTGATGTTTAATAATCTGACTGCTGCTGGCTCCTTGTCTTTCTGTGCTACTGCTGTGGATCATCTCATAGAATCAGATTTCCAATTTTTCTCCAAACAAGATTTATTCCAACATTCAACGAGCTGCTGTGTTTTGGTTCGTCTCTCTTGGATGGCTCAGATAAGCTGATGATTTTACATACAGTACATCGCATTAGAAAGCCATTTTTATTTCATTATGGTAGCACTCACTTCCATGTTTAAACAACATTAGGAATGCAAAGCTTTCTGTCTTCTTTTGCGAGAGATGGCACTTTTCTGAAACCACCGCAGGCATGTTTGAGGGAAAGCAAGTGTGAACCACTGCAGCAATCAGTGGATGTCTGATGTGCAAGTGTTTCCTTAGCACTGTGGTTAGCATTCACAAGTATTCAGCATTACCTTCTTTCCTGTACCCAGTCCCTGAGTGCAGCTATTGATTCTTGCTCTGCACCAATCATACTGCTCGCTGTAGCATTGAAAATCATGCAACAGAACATTTGTGCCCTTAATGAGAGGATGTCCTATCTCTTTTGCCAATGCACCATGTGAGAGATGTTTATTTGTACTGAAAGTGAAAGAACAGAACATGTAAAAGCTTTCTAAATGCTAAACTAATGCATTCTGGTGGTTACCAAGCTTGCAAGTGACACATTAACATGCAAATTTCAAAGACTGCATTGATCAGCTTTGTTGAAATGCAAAAGAGACGTGCAGATTGATTGACAAGCCTATTGATGATTTCACAGCACTGACAAGGTAGTTTAGTGAATCAATTATGTAATTCTGCTAAAAGGAAGACAAAATTTGTTTTGGTTTGTGTGTCTGAAAGCAACATGATACATGGTAGTACACGTCAACTACAAGTTCTAACTGTGAAATATTAAAAACTGGCTGACTTTTATGACTGACTGGAGCCAGAAAACGACCCAACCGCTTGCTAAACTTCATTCAAACGGCAGAATTCACACACAATGTCTTTCCCTTTATGAAGCAAATACATCTTCTGCTAACTTGTTTGGGTTAAATCTTGATCCCGCAGGTGAGCCGCTTTGTTTTTTTCCCCTCTATTCCAATTGAAAACTGCAGACCTCTAGGTCTGTTTTCCAACTTCAAAAAAGAAACCATCAGACTGTACAGTCTGGGGAGCGGCATGTGAGCTTTTACTCATGAGAAAGCGTTTCAGCTTAGCTCTGAAAAAATACAGCAGTAGGCAGCAGTGTGAGTGAGTAGTATGCAGTCAGTCAGTGTGCGTGTGTGTGTGTGCAAGTAGATACAGTACGTGTGGGTGGGTTGTGATATCTCTCCTGTCTTTTTCTGGTTTTGTGTTAAGGTGTGTTTTTATAGAAGATGTGCATATGTAACCGCTCATGAGCAGTGAGTGATGTGTCCACAGCTGCTCTGCCTGGATTAACATAATGATGTCAGGGAGTCCTGTGGACCAGAACGTACACAAAGACGTTGGGAAGCCAGTGTGAAATTAAAAAGAAGAATTTACAATTCTGGGTGTGAGGCACACTTACAGAGGGGCTGGAAGGTGGTTGGCTCTAATAGGATTTGTAAAGCTTTTTGGTTGTGGCTGGCCATTATGTCTAAGAGTTAGTGTCCTTTTCTTTTACATTATGCCTTAGACAATTTTTTTTCTTTTGCGTGTATCTTTTTATGACAGTTTCTGGGTAGTGGTTCCTGAGGATATTCAGACGAATCGCTGGCCACAATTTGGCAGAGATTCATCTGTGATTATTAAAGAAATCCCATTAAGCAAAATCAGCTGTCTTTCTTGAAAATGCAACTGCAGGCACGCAAATGCAGAGCGTGCGTCCATTTCGTGTCATCTATTTACAGGAACGCTTTTTCATTTTAAACCTTGGTAAGAGGTTGTAGAAGGGTACCGTGGCAGAAAGTACTGCTTGTAAACACAATTGCATGATTGCACAGCAGAAACATCAAATTTCCTGTCTGTGAGCGAGAAAATAACAATGAAAATATTGACTTCATTACAGGTCAGAGAGAGTCACCTGACACACTGACATTATTGGCTTATCTTTACTGATACAGCCTGCAGTAGCAAATGTGTGAGACTGCAGATAATGCAAGTAAAAAATGGTGTGCAATAAAAGGCCGCTAGCATATTGTTTGCCTCTTCTGAGCTCTTCTTCTCACATTATTAAAGTGGAAAACGGAAGCCATCGCAATTAGTAAAGCTCTCCTGTACGTAGCGCTCAGCAGACATTAATCATACAGTTGTCAAGGTCACTTGAGTGCATGCCCTCCAGCATCTTGTAGCACTGAATGACGCTCAAAAGGCTATATCCATAAAACCCCTTCTAAGCATGCACTCCTTTCTATTAATCTAACAGTATCTGAGTGTGTCAGCTTCGTGCTTAATTGAGGAATTCTGCTCATTTTTTTGGTAAAGGTTGCACTCCTACAAGGCAAAAGTGGACCGTGTCTGGGTGGCAGAATATCACAGATTTAGCAGTGACAAGGCCGTGTATCTCATGTCTGAAATACGCGTCCATGGCTTATGACTGATGTAATGGGATGTGTAAAGTCTTTTTTGCTTTTTTGAAGTTATAGATTCCATGAAATGATCTTTATTTCTCTTTACAGATACACTTCTAGATGACTTCCTGCTAACCTACCCAGTATTCATGTCTACAAGTGATTTATGCCAAGCTCTACTGGGACAATATCCTTGAACACATAGGCTTTTATAGGATCCTGAATTAGATGTTTTATTCAAAAACAAAGTATGTTTTACCTTCTTAAAGCTGTTCCACTTCACTCATCTTATTCATATAACTGACTCTCTTGGCCCCTTTACTAAATCGATATCATGCACCATGCTTCGCTGTGCTGTGCATTTGACGTCAGACATGAAAAATAATCTCCCTTCCTTAACCGAGTCCCACCTATTGCACCAAGCGACACAGAGGGAAAGAGGATCGGAAGGAGGCTCTGGAGAGGAAGCAGAAACTCCTGCACCTGGTGTCGCAGTGGATGTCGCTCTGCAAAGACTTCCTGAGAGAAGACGAGCATGTCAAGCTCTTCATGAAGGTAGGACACACTGTGCAAACGGAAAAGGGTGGAAACTGGGTGGGAGGTGAACTTTGTATGGGAGAAATGAAAATTGACATTTCCTTCCAGACTCTTTATCGTTGTGTGCTGGATGATCTTTATGAGCACCCGGCCCTGGAGAGGGATGTGGGGGAGCTGCAGGAACTCTACCACCTGCATCGCAGACAGTGAGTTCATATATGTGTTCCTCATTTGGTGCAAACAGAAAGAGAACTATAGTTTAGTACAGACATACTTTCAAATTCTTTTAAATGGAAATGAACCTCATCAGGCCTGGGTGTGGAAAATTTCTAGTAAGTTCTGTGACTGCTGAAGGATTCAAACTGGAACACACACTGTTCTTTGAATACGAAGAAAGGGCTTCTTCTCCCCTTGGTGTCTTTCTTTAGATTCTTATCAATGAATCCATTCAGAAACTGAAAAGTAATCGCAGTGTTCTGGGTTGGTATGCATATGAATGGCACAGAAGTCTTCATTTCAAATGTCCAGAACTGAGGATGTATAAGAAGTTTGAGAAATAAGAAGCCACAAATGTTTTCCGTGAGAAAAAGAAAAAAGCTCGAAGAGCACGGTCGTACTTTTTGTTCCACCACTTGTTTACAAGACTCTATTTCTAGCCAGCTGACTGTGAATGGGGCCAAACACATGAGAATAATTGCAAACACAGTGATACGCATCAGTATGGTTTCAGATTTGTTGAGTCATAAAGTCATTATGCAATATTCAGAACACAATATACAGTATCGGTCCAATCAAATGAAGCCGGTGTACAAAGCTACAAAGCACAGATACCAATAAATAAATATAAGTATATATAAAAGAATATGAAATCATGTAAAACCTTTTATAATTGCAGACTAAGGCATGTTTCAGGTTTGAATTGATCATAACACCTTATTTATGAATAACCCAGTATTTATTCTCCATTAAATAAAACATGCTTGATCTGCTAAATTTATACATAAATTCAATCAAAGATGAATTTCAACAGTTTTATTCCTCTGAAACTGGAATCTGTGAGTAGCTTTAGTGTTTTCGTTGATAAAAATAAACATCATGTTGCTTTTGATGGTACAACCCTGAGTCACAAGACACATTGCCACACCCTTCCCCTTCGTCAGCCTCCAGTCACATCTTTTCCCCTGGGGCTGCTTTTGCCTGATGCCCATTAAAACCAGTGCAGATGATTCAACCTGAGCCTCCTGCAGATATCTGACCGCGTCTCATTCCCGTTTATATGCACGGAGGGAAATCCACAACACCCACTCTTATAAAGCAGCCGATTTTGCGTGGGTGTTACCGGCTGACATACTCTTCTATTTATGAGCTTTTCACAATCAGTCCCACCCTAGGGGAGGACAAGGTTGACTGCCTTGTGGAAATCTGCTGCAGAGTGAAAAAAGTGTCATTCTTTTCATATAAAGAAGCTTCCCATCAACTTCCATCTGGCCTTTGTGCAAAGGGAAGGCTAAGCTGGGGGAAAAAGACTGTTTGTTTTCTTGCACTCTCCAATCCTGTGCCATTATAATTCACCGAGCTAATCGACTTCTTTGGTGATTCGGCTTTTTGAGGAGTAAAAGAGCGAGTTAGATCACAAGCGGTGCTTTGACATGGCAGGGGGAGTCAGGTTTTTCATTAGTGCACAGTCGTTGCTGGCCTATGAGAGGAGATCCCTGCGGGCAGGCTTTGTGCCAACATGCCTTTTGTGATGCAGAGCCCAGTAAAAGCTGAGGGATGATAATAGACACGGGGCTATCCATCAAACCAGGACTAACCCATGGGAATAGGGTGATTAAATGAAGGTATCACACTGGAAAATCTAAAATCTACCAAGCACTCTAATCTGTCCTTGACACCAAGCTTAAATAATGGACTCAACACAGCAGAGGAGTATACATGGATTCCTTTTACCTTGATTATATAAACTGCATGGGTCGTTACGTTGTTGTACTACAGATATTACCTGCGGTCCACGGATCATCGTCATCATCAGTTTTTAAGACAAAGTACAACGATTGTTTTTGTAAATGTTTAATTACACTGTGGTGCACTTTAGTGATGTGTTTCTTCTTCTCCTTTTTTCAGTACTGTGGAATATTCCCCTCAAAGAAAGGTAAGTGAACAACGCTAAGAAATGAAAGATTTTATACAACATGAGCTGGCTTTCCTGATTGACGTTTCGGGTGTCGGGGTTATTGTAGTCACATTTCCTCCTAAGAACATTGTTCCGTTGTTCCACCGAAATGCATGATGTTCTCAGGCAGTAAGAGCGTGTCTCAAAATCCATGCATTTCCTCTCTTTCAGAGCAAAGCACTTTTCCACCAATTGAGTCTGAAAGAGAACGGGCTCCAGTCCAGGGCAACACAGAGGGAGACCAAGGATGGTAAGTCGTAAAAAAAAAAAAAAGCTTCATTCTTCACACATTCCTCCCGTCATACGTTGTTTCCAAAGTAAGAAAAAAGAAGACTTTTAGTCTGAACTGTACAACAATGGGAATCTTTCCAGGGAATGAATGAGATATTTGGGAGTGCAAATACCTGACTTATGACATATAATAGCCTAATAAGACTAAATGTTTATAGCACCTCTCAAAAGCACAGTTAAAAGGTGATTTGTAATGAAAACATGTAGTAAAAGGGCTAGTTCATTCAATTAAGCCTCCAGTTGTGGTCACGTCACGCCCCTTACTTTAGTGCTCCTGGTCAAAATTGACCGGTCTGTTTTAACAGCTCTTAAATTAGCATAACAACCATTTTTCACCACCAATTTCAGTTCAGTGGGCCATTCAGTGGGTCGTAAAGTGCGTCTTTGGTCATTCAGTTGGCCAAAATACACCGAAGCAGAGGATTTGAATTTCTTAGTCTGTGTCCAGAATGTGCAAACTTGGTCAGTGGGCAGCTTCCCAAGACCTACCTAATGGGACCAGAAGATCCCAGGTCAATGGATTTCTGCTGTGCCTAATAGAGGCATGGATTTCATGTTAACCTCCTATATGGGCAGTGGGCTGCACTTTTTAACGGATCTTACAACTTAATGAAATTATTTTTTTCCCTTTGCCAGTGCTGTGTCATGTGTATATAACCATGGACTCATACCTAAGTATGAGGGTCCAGTCCGGGGTAGTGGCACAGGAGCTGGTGCAGGCAGTGGCAGAAAGGATGGATGTCTCCCATGAGGAGCTGGTACTCGTGGGTGTCACTTATCCTGGAGGTAAATAGTGTTTTCTCTAACTGGTTGGAGAACATTGCATAGCAATAATGACAATACTTTCAATGTTGAAACTCACAACTTAACACTGTAGCACTACAATTGAATATTAGAGTAATCCAGAACTAGCTATGAGACTACTTACTCTAAATGCAAATGTGTGACAAATTAAAGGAAAATGCTACACAAGTGTTTGAGTGAGGTGCTGGGCCACTACTTCCTACTAGAACAAGTCTCTGTTCTCTTTTGTGTTTTATGTTTAACGCATTGGTCCAAATTCTGTCATATGAGTTTAAGGACTATGACGGCTACAGTCATTTTCATATTCTTCAACACCATTAAGTCAGTCTGTTTCCCTATCAAAGAGAGCACTCGTATCAGGATATGGTGATCTCTCAGAACAACTGTGTATTGATTTTAGTGATCATTTCCTCTTAGGAGACAAGTGAATCCAACTTATATCATACCAAAAAATTCTCATTTATAGTTTTTTTTCTAACATTTTGTCATATTTGATGTTTCTTTCTATATTCATTTTGATACTGAGCCCAGATAGGTATGTGCGAGATTGCAATCAACATAATTGACTTCGATGTCTCCCAGAGAGTCAAGTAATATGGAGTCAGCATCTGTTATCAGTCACTAAAGTGTCAGGCTACCTCAAAGTGGAGCTTGGCACACAGAGTCTTATCTGTAACCAGTGATAGCTGCGTACATGCTGCCAGACAGATTTCTAATGGTATTCTGCTGTTTATGCTCTTTTCTCCCCTGCAGGCAGACTCCTCCTGCAGCCTCAGGACCGAGTTTTCTCCAGTTCTTTACGGTCAGTGGGGAGGCTGCATGCATGCAGGAAGGACCTTGGTGAAGTCCTGGTAGGAATAATATTTTTATGTTTAACTTTAAATATGCATTTTCTTGAGAGTAGAAAAAAATGCATTTTTATATATGATACCTCAAAACCCGCAAAGATACTGTTAATTTTTAGTATTTAAATTGAGGCAAAACTAATTCTTATTCAGTGTCTGCAAAAATGTCTAAATGTTTATGTCGGTGTTCAGGGCATTGTGGTTTTAAAGGAAAATCTGAACCTTTTTTGCTTGTTTTTCTTTGCAGAACCCTTTAACAGATAACTCAGAGCTGCAGCAGAGGACAGCTCACATGCTGAGTTTGAACACCTGGGATGTCGCTGTTGCACTCACTGATTTTGACTGGGCAATTTTTGATGCAGTGCACGAGGTTTGTCTCACAACTTGAACTTGCAAAAATTATTTTCTTCAAACTGAATCCTTCAAAGATGTTAATGTTCAGTAAATGGGTTTTTTTGGGGTTTTTTTTACAGCAAGAGCTGGTCTATTTCACCTTCAACCGCCACGCCGGCAGCAACCACACGACAGCTTTAGAATTCCTGCTGCAGCGATGCAATGACATCCAGCTGTGGGTGATGACCGAGGTGCTGCTGTGCCCAACACTCTGCAAACGGGTTCAGCTCATCAAGAAATTCATAAAGATTGCTGCCCAGTTAGTATTGTTCCTCCCATGCAACAGCAGTGTGATAAGAGATTCACTTACCGAGTATTCACATTGGCTTCTCCTACTATTAGTTCAAACTTATTACAGCATTCAACCTGTAGGGTGAGATGTTTTATATGGGAATACTGCACCCTCCAGTGGCAAATCATTGAACTACATCTACTTTTGTGGTTACAAGTCTGAAAGTAAATGAACTGTGTGCTTGTGTGCAGCTGTAAAGCACAGAGGAACCTCAACTGTTTCTTTGCGATCATAATGGGCCTCAACACAGCAGCCGTGAGCCGCCTCAGTCAGACATGGGAGGTCAGATGTTTTCTTTACTTTTTTCTTTTTCTAAAAGGAATCAATAATTTCCATCTTTTTCCATTTTTATATGTCTAGCTGAAGTATCTGAAATCAACTTTTATTTTCTCTGCAGAAAGTTCCTGGCAAATTCAAACGGCTATTTTCAGAGCTGGAAACAGTTACAGTAAGTGTACTGAGCATGGTATGAGTTCACACTGTAACAGAGAGTATAAACCCTTGTGTCGGTGTGTACTGGCTGAACCAAACAGATGCTTTGAACTTGTAAAATCAGGGGAAACATCTGGCTGCATTAGATCGCTAGTAGTCTCTAATAGAAGCATCCAGGAACACACAGTCACTCTCGCTGGATAAGTCTCATTCATTTTAAAAATGTCTTCACAGGATCCCTCGCTGAATCACAAGGCCTACAGGGACTCCTTCAAGAAGATGAAGGCTCCAAAGATTCCTTTTCTTCCTCTGCTGCTGAAAGGTGTGCTCATTATTCTGTCACTTCAGCTCCCCTGCAGAAAATCTAACTCTAGGAGCAGAGTGCTGGGGAGATATTTCTATCAAGCAGATCTGACATGGAAGAACAAACCTGCTGGAGAATATTAAACAAAATGTTCTTCTCCTTTAGATATCACATTCATTCATGAAGGCAACAAGACGTTTCATGATAACCTGGTCAATTTTGAAAAGCTGGTAGGTTTGTGCATTTTTGTGGCGCCTTGAGGTGACTTTTGTTGTGATTTGGTGCTATATAAATAAAATTGAATTGAATTGAATTGAATTGGCAGGGCATGCTTCAGTACCGAATACAAAACTGTATGTTTAAAGATGCCTGTTTCCACATTTTGCTTCCAGCACATGATAGCAGACATGGTGCGTCTCATTCGACAGTGCCAGAAAGATCACATGGGTCAGTATTTAAATTGTTTATATTGTTATTTCTTTTCTACAAACTTCCATACTAAAAGCAATGATGAAACATCATTTTTCAAAGTTGTCATCATCAGTTTTTGCAAGGCAAATAACAAAATCAGTGAGCAAAGTCACTTACATTCATGATCCTCTTGCACCAGCACATTGCCTTACATGATTTCATTCAATGGCTTTAAGCAAGTCAACAAAATCCATTTCACCCAGCAAAGTAACACGTTTTCTATTCATTCTAGGAAATGGAATAACACAGAAGAGCAGCTCAGAGGTGCGAGCCTACATTGACTATCTTCACATCATCGACAATCAGCAGACTCTGTTTGAACTGTCACAAAGGCTGGAGCCTCGATCTTAGAAAACAACTCTGACCCTCCTTCATACTGTGCCAAGGGACAACCTTACTGCTGTCTCATCTAACTCTCAGGACAAAGGCTACATGACCCTAACCAACCACAGGAGGGCGCTATTTGATCAGGAGATTATTTACCAGAGACAGGAGCAGGCGGCAAAAACAGATTAATAAAAACATGACATTTTAAGCACCTAAAGCAAAATCACACCGTTTAAGGCAAGTCTAGACATCATTTAACAATGAAAATTTACAAAAAAGAAACTGTTGCTTTGCAGGAAAAATGCTTCCTTCTAATACAAACTTACAACAAATGCAACCAATGTGTGTAGATTCACTGTCCTGGTCTTTTCTTTGAGCTGTTAGCACACCACAAAGCAACAGTGAGCACAGAAGGAAGACTAGTTGATAACTGTTTCTGACTTTCTTCAGAGAGCTACTGTTTTTTGTTTTGTTTTGTTTTTACATCAACTAAGAACAGTGGTGGTCAGCTCATTAGATTTAACCAAAGATTCTTTCAGCTAATAAAAGTCTGCACTGTTACACACACTTCTGTGCTCTCAGAGTTCGCCACAATCCAGATTTTCTTGTTGCCAGGTCAGATGTAAGACATGCTTTTCCCAAAGCAAATCAGCACAGTGTTATGCACAACAAGATTGAAACTGTTGCTACATGTTTAACAGTTTTTTATATTATTTTTATTTTTTATTCTTTCTTTTTTTTATTTGTTTTATTTGACCACAAAGTGACGCGTATATGATGAGCCTTTGCACAGTACAGATTGTATTAAGGCAGGGAACTACAGAGTAGTACAGTATACTGTATTCTGTTGGCATGTGTAATAATTGTCTATCTTTGTGCCAAATCCCATGGAAAATAGGTGTTTAAAATAATGATCATTTTCTAATCATTTTTAAATCACTAGCACGGGGAACTTTAAGTGGTTTAGCTGTGGACAATCAGTTAAATGAAGCCACAGACTCATACTGGTTCTTCTCTGTACTGGGCTTTAAAGTTCATCAATATTTGTGCATTTCGCAGACATCCATACAATTTCAGTCTGTTGAGATTTGAAGACTGACAGCAGTTGTTCACTTCTGATACACAGAGTTCAAGAATTTAGCACCAGAAAAAAAATCTGATTTCTTTGAAGCCTGATTCATTTGTGGTTAGATTTAGCAACAGCAAAAATCAAATATTAAAATAGCACCTTCTGGGCAAGAAGAAGAAGAGAGAAGAAGAAGACAAACTGGAAGCCATTTGCTTGTTTGCATTGTGTCGTAGCACTACTGTACGATTTTAAACATGCAGTATTTGTTCTGTAAATGCGTGAGAAATCTCTCTTTTGCTAGGTTGGGTCAGGCAAACTGAGGTAGTTGTTGTGAAGTGTGTACATACAATTATGCTTTATATTCTTCACATTTTGTATATTTGGATTTTAAAACATGCTTTAGCAGTATTTTATTTTGAATATCATTTTTTGTCATCAATAGTGTACAGCTGATTCAATTTATACAGTGTATATATGTTGAAATTCTGGATATGGATATTTATCTCATAATTATTTATTTGCTTTCAAGATACTATTTAGGATGCTTGTGTTAATTGTTTTGGTTTGTTTGTTTGTTTTTTTATTGTACGCACTGTTTTTGGCAGGTCTGCATGATATGTCAAACCATGGACTGACCATTAGTGCCAACTGTGCATGTATTAAAATACTTTTCATCACTGTGAGCTCATTATTTTTAGACTAACATTTGGTGATAATTCATAACAGGTAAAGTCTGTTTTCTAACACCAGCAAGCAAACATTACTTTACTTAGAAGTACAGACCCTGGAAGTTAAAGTACTGATTATAAAAGTGAATATGTACACGCTCTGAAATGTACATGAAACATGAAAGTGAAAAGTAGCACTCTGAAGGAAATTTTTGCGCTAAGCTACAGTAACTGATCAGTGTCTTTGTTTTCTCTCGTAGGGTCATTGACTCCATTTCCCTCTGACACAAATGTTTGCTTTGCACTTGGATTTCCTGCTTATGTTTTTTGCCTCTTTCTACAGTAAACGCATGCAGTAAGTGCCGATCAAGATCAAGGGTCTGCTGGGGCAAAACTGGGTCTCTCCAACAAGTGTTCATCACCCTTATTAATAATCTGACACCAGCAAATTAAAAACCTGGACCTTCAACTCAGTCATGTCACAGCTGACACTAGTTCTGCTAGCCAAGTTAATTAATAACTTTATATAATACAGTCTTCGACAAAAAGGTGTAATTACCCTGTAATTAAATGTATTTTATTTGAAATTACAAAGTAATTGTATTTACCTACAAATACTTAGAGGCAGGCACACTAGAATAACCTTATATTACGCTGTGTTATAGGATGGAATAATGGAGCCTTTATTACTTCTTTGTTTGGTATACATGATGTTAATGACATATTGAATGTTCTGTTATTCAACTGTCCTTTTTATTTTACCAATATAATTTTGATAAAGACTGTTCTCCCTTATCAACTTATAAGAAAAAAATACTATAAGAATTGCCTATGTGATATTATAATAATGGAGCCAAGTCTAACTTAATTTTTCTTTTATTCTAGTGTACCTACCTTTAAATATTTGTAGGCGAATACATTTACATTGTAATTCCAAATACAGCACACAGATGTTTTATTTAACTAGTTGTGGATTGTATTATAAAGTGTTACCTTAATATTAAATCTTAAAGTCAACAAATAATTGAATGCAAGTGGAAGTTACATTTTTCAGGTGTCTCTCCCCCTCACTGGCTGAAGGCCCCAAGCAGTTGGCTGGTGGCAGGAAGCACCTCTGCCAATGATGGATCATAAGATCAATAAGATTGTCATTTAAGTGTTACTGTTCGCTCCATTTGGGTTGAAAGTGGTTTAATGTTGGAAAGGTGCGCTGTGATGCGAAATAATCAATAACTCCCTCAAATGCATTAAAAGTAAAGTAGCAAGTCTTTGAATTTTTCAGGAGTAAAAAGTAGAGGTACTTGTGCTAAATCACAGGGAGTAAAAGTAAAAAGTTGTCAGTAAAATAAACGGTCCGGTCAGGTGCAGATACCTGAAAAGTCTGCTTGAGTACCTTAATGCCATACTTTGGCCCACAATGCTGTGATTAACCAAAGACAAAACTTACAGCAGGACGAACTGTTGTGAAACGTTATTACACGTGACATGTTCGTGTAAAAGTATAAAAAAATAACCTCTGTATATTCAAGCACTTTGTCAAACATACAAAATTAAGGATTTCAGATTTCATAGAGCACATATAAGTCACTATACTATGTTTTTATTACCTTTAACACATTATGAAAAGGTGCTTGTAGTAAACTTTTAAGTTCTCACAACCAATGGTTTTTAACAAAGAATGAAGGATCAGAGCTGAATCATACGTTGAGAGTCAGTGAAAACATACACGTAATATAGAAAAAGGGCAAAAAGGAAAAGATTGGTCTTAAAATTTCTCATTTTTATGTGTTTATTACCTAATGTGACAACAAAGTATGGGATTGTTTCATAAGGAACAAGAAAGTGGCGTGTAAGTCCTGGAGGCAAACGTTGAACCATTCAAAGCTTAAAATGTGGCTTTAAGCTTTTGTAATTTTTTGCTCTGTAGCAGACTAAACAGTACAAATTATGACATTTTTATCTCAGCTTTGCAACCCCATGCCATTATGTAAAAACCAATATAACAAAAAGATAGTGACAATTAAAGTAAATATTTGGTCATAGGCAGCTTTTTATTTTAAGGCTCCACAGAGCAGAGACATCATTTAACATCATAAACTATAACATTTTTAAAGCTGTTCATAATACTGCGAG